TATTGTTATATAAGTATTGAAGACATAAACAATCACACTAGCAACCAAACCAAACCAATGAAACCAAAATCTAAGGAACATAACCAAACTGAGAGTATTTCATGAATTTAACATTCAAAAAATACTTCTGTCAATGTCCGAGACTCTCACATATCCTGCCTTTTTCTCTTTTTCTCTTGCACCTGTTTTTGTATTCATTGTATCTAACAAACCTGGAACTAAACCTACTTAACTTTTTCCAGTGCTCAGCAACAACCTATCTTTATAAAGTTTCAGTCATGGAGCATCTTTTTGTTGTTTTTATAAAGGTTTGTTTTTTCATTACTTGATGAGTTTTTTTTATTAGAGCATATATAGTGCGATATAAAATAATAACTTCATAAAAGTGGGTCTGCCCTAATTCAATTTGAACATGTACTCACACTTCCTGAAATCCTGTTGTAAAAAGAAGGAAGAAAGAAAATAGAGAAGCGAGAAAGAGAAACTTCAAGGATAAAGGTCAGCTGAGATCACGGTGGAGAGAGGAGTGGTGAAAGACCAGAGAAAAGAGGTAAAAAAAACAAACATTTAATGTTTTTTGTGGAAAATATATTTTAAAACACTAAATGAGCCGCAGGATTATATAAAAGTGTGAACTGTGCTGGTCAAAAAACTTGCTAGACGGAAGCCACTTCTTGAATTCATGAAATGATACAGATGACCTAAAGTTACATGGAATACGACAGAGAATATGCAGTTCTAACAGTTTGTTTTGTAATAGTGCTTTTGTTGACCTTTTGAATCTTTTGAGAACAGATCTTTGTGTGTGTTTACCATAAAAACTTTAGGGTAGTGGTGTTGGCACAGTCGGTAAAACTGGTACATAACTATGGAATAACCAAGCATGCAACATCCTGTATTGCGATGTGTGACGTAAAATGTTGCATTTCCTTTGTTCTAATCTCTCTTTACTTCATTTGCTGCAATAAAGTTTGTCTCTGGAGGGAGAAACTGAATGTGCCGAGAATCAAGTCAGGATGTTTGTTCTGATCTGGGCGACTTTCCTTTTGTGTGTGTGTGCTGAAACAGGTTTGATTCTTCTTCTTTATATTCCTCTAATTCTGCTTTATTAGTGTTTTGTTTTATGCGGTTATGTGTGCGTGTGTGTGCGTGTGCATGTGTGTGTAGAGTAAAAGTGTTTTTTTGACATGCAATCAAATTATAAGTATAAATTCATGTAACAGAATTTAAAGTTCACATAAATCAGTAAGATCACTGTCACCTGACTTGTGCATTATACAACTATTCAGATGAACCAAATATTCTTTTCCTCTTTTTTTACCTCCTCCTTTGTATTAACAGGCACATCACAACAATGCATTGGACAATACTGCATCACACTTAGTGAGACACTAACAGCAGAGGCTGGACTCTGTGTTGTGATCCCGTGTTCTTTCGCTACTGGTTTTGGATTTACACCCAAACATATAGTTTGGTACAAATGTGAAGCATATTCAAGATGTGACTATGATCATCAAATAATATTTCACACCAATAAAAACATCCGCGTTCAGTATGGCTTTGAAGGACGTGTGTCACTCTTAGAGCCTGATATAAGACAGAACAACTGCAGCATCATCATTAATGATCTCAAAGAGTCGGATTCTGGATTGTATCGGATCAGAGTTAATGGTGAACTGAATCGGAGAGAAGATGGATTTGCATCTATTCAAACGACAACTGTCTCAGTTGAAGGTACAAACAAATCAAAAAAAGGATGTTGAGAATAAATATTGGTTTTTGTACTACTTTATTTATAAATTTTTTGTCTCAAGTATGAAGTGATTTTGCACATTTATTTACCCCTGTGTGCTGTTAGAACGAAATACAACACTTTATGTTCCACATCTACCTGTTTAACATAATTTCCTATAATTTAAGCCAAAATATAAGTAGTTGATGAACTTCAGGCAGTTAACCAGATTATTCTTACGTTCTATGTTTCCACTAGGTCTTAGCCAGAAACCCAGAGTTAAGATTCCCACACTGACAGAGGGACAGCAGGCCACACTGACCTGTGTTGCTCCTGGTCTCTGCTCTGGATCTGCTCCTGAAATCACCTGGACATGGAGAGGAGCAGGAGGGACTGAATCTTACATTACAGGAAGCAGCACTTCTTTCAGGACTAAAACTCTAACTGCTTTCACACAAAGACACATTTCAACTCTGACTTTCAACTCCTCTGCTGAACACCACAACACCAATGTCACCTGTAAAATCCGCTTCACTGGGGAAAAAATTACGGAGGGGGGTTCAACTTTAAAAGTAAACTGTGAGTATTTTCACTATATAACTTTGTATGCTGAATTCTTTTGAAAGCAGTGTGCTCTCTTGGTCAACTGGTCTTGCTGGAAAGAGAAAAAGAGAAGTTTCATTATTGTGTAATTTGTATTTTTGTGTAACAGATGTTAAGGAAGTTAACATCACAGGGGGCACAAACGTGAAGGAGGGTGAAACTCTGAACCTGACCTGCAGTGTTGAAAGTTTTCCTCCATCTCTGATTATGTGGTCTAAACTTGGTTCTGATATAACCCTGCACAATGACACTGGATCAGCCACACTCTCCATAATTAATGCTACAACTGGACATTCTGGACAGTACGTCTGTACAGCAAAACATATGAACAATACCCTGCAGGAAAACATCAATATAACAGTAATATGTAAGTAAATAACTTTGTGCTTTTAGACAGAGCTTTTTTTTCACTCAGTCATCTGAAAATATGAGTTCAGAGAAATTAAACAACTGTAGTCAGACACTTTTAAATATGAAGCTGTCCCACATCTATGTATTAAAGAGCCATTGGAACCCATTTCTTATATTTTAAAATAATAGGCACATTGTGCTTTGGATATAATGCTTAGCATTGCTGTCATGAGCTTCCAGCATCTATCTTAATGTCTTTCTTCATTGCTTATAACTTCCTGTCATAGACAGCAACACTGACATCTGCTAATGGTGGATGGCTTTGTCTGTCCTAACACTTAACTGACCTTGCACATTAATAGAGTACAAATAATAGGTTAAACTGGCCATTATTTCTGAAGCCAACTAGCAAGGGCAACAACATTTATTATAGTCGACAAACAGAGATTTGTCACCTAGCTCACCATCTGTGTACCTACTTCCCAGATGTTTTGTTAACATGGAGCCAAATATCCCAATCAACTCGTTGTATGTGTCAGGGTTTCAGGTTTTCTTTTTATTTACCACCAGGCTGTTTTGTTCAATGTTGGGCAAGTTACTTTGAAAAAGTAATTAATTATAGTTACTAGTTACT